ATTGGGACACTTTATGTATCTCTGAATTAATCCTTTGTCTGACATCGCTTGATTCCTGTAATAACTTTGATGATCTTTTCAACGTTTTCATTTGGTCACTTATGTCATTCTCTGTCGAATATCGTAGCCCAGTCACAATTACTACATCACAGCACCATGAATTTTTGCATCAGACCAGACACTTCTGTGGTTAAAAGATAATTCATGAAGTTTGGCCCAGTAGACAAAACGAAAGTTGCAAAAGCATTAATATGAGTCAGTGAGTGGATCCACAACATCGCTGCTTTGTAAGGTCTTGTGGCCAACATTGTGAGCTGCAATGGGGGGTTACTTACAGTGATAGATGAACTTAAACATCTGTTCTCCAAGAGAGGAAAAGAAAAGGTGGACATATCTTGACAATCCAGACCCCCCCCCACAACAGTTACATGTTCGTATGAAGAGACAGATAATGGCCAACAAAATTATGATCGCATCGCCTTCAAGCAGTTGCAGGGATGTATTGGATAGTTTTTTGATAAATCGAAATCTAACGAGTAAGAATTTCAGTCAAACAATAGTTGCAATTCCGGTAGACCTAGAAACACAGATACATTGTTATTGTTGTAAAATTTTGCAATACTTTAAAGATGCAATGCTCTTAAAAATGAAATTTCTGATGTAAGTTGATACACTTTGAAGAAACTTTACGATGTAGTCTGCAAGGACTGTACAGGGATATTGGAAGATTCCTCAACTTTCCATGCAAGGCACCTGACTCTCGTCCGTCAGCCAGATACAATTTGAACATTTTCATCACGGTGGCTTGAAAAAGCCAGGTTTAAACTTGTGGAATTTGTTGGTTTGTTTGAAGCTGTTGTTTTTGTTTTTTTAAGCGTTTTAAACCTTTGATGAACAGAGCGCACAGTAGATCTAAATCTAGACATAATCTAAAGTTGAAAATGCTCCATGAGCCAGACGTATCTGAAAACAAGAGTGATTCTTGCAAATGCAACACCGTGGACCGTGAGTCAATGTATTTATTAACGTCAGACTGCACGATGTTCTTTACATGACAATGCTGTCAAAAATATTCATTTATTTTGTGGCGCAACCGGTCCTCAAACACCTCATTAACGGGTAAATCAATTTAACCTCAACTTTGCGCAGTAGTTTGTATCAATTTATCTTAAACGTATTCATATTTTTTCCACAACAATTGAGACAAGATTTAAAAGCGTATCTTCATGAATTTAGAAAAAATATTAAAATGGGGCCAACTGGTCACCCCACAACTCGTGTTATTGTAACACTGCGTGTGTTGTGTGAGCTAATTAATGCGCAGAGCAACGCGCGCAGTCGCTGACCTCGATTCTACGACGATGCACTAAGGCCGAAGAAGGATTGCACTGTCTCGGTGTTTACGGTGTCTGGCTCCGGGGCTCACATAATTTTGACATAGAATAGTGCACAATCTGTCGAGTTTATTTTTAGATTGCCTACTGTGGGGTATATTTTGGCACTATTCTGCAGGAGCACATTTGAGATGTGCCGTCTTATTAAATGTACCGCCAAACTCTCTATGAGTGTCGTCATCGCTTGGGTAATCCCAAATAGCGATTTATAGGTCAGGTTACACTGTTGAATATCCTACTATACAGCGTATGAACTTTGGCATGGCATAGTAGATGCTTTACGGCGCTACAGACACAGAAATGACAGTCATGGCGCCAGTGAGAAACGTGTTTTGTTATGATATTTGGTTAGTGTTTGTTTCTGGCGTCTTTTATTTTATTAATGTAGGTTTTTTACGTAATAAAACATTTTGGGCGGCACTGCACCGTGCTCTATGGACGAACCGCGCCTGGTCATTGTGTTAAAAGTTGGAATGGTGTAGTGGTGAACGTTTTACTACTCGAGTGTGTATTCCAATGCAGGATGAATGAAGTTGATTGCAAATAAATTCAGTTCACCAAACGAAGTAACAAGAAAAGAGTGAATGCATTAAGTCCTCGCCAACCCAAAAATATCAAAATAATACAATGAATAAAAAGTGGAGTGGCTTACAGTCAGGGTTAGCAAATTATACTCATTGTAGACCTAGATTGGGCCTACTGTTTCTCCGGTCTGCTTTTTGAAACCGAGGACCCCAAGAAGTCTAAGACAGATTTTACTGATCTTGTCCATGTGAAACAGCACATTAAAGTCAAAAGTCATCAAGAGCGCACGTAAAAAAGGCCGTTAAGTATCATACTTTCGGACAAGTAGACATAGCAGCTAGTCGTAGGTCATCGCATTGCAACGTCTCACTATAACTAACTGGTGAGAAAGAACAGGCACGTATTGTGTAATACGGGGTGCCCACTATGGATCGCCCGACTCGATCGCCTCCAAAACAAACGTGTTTGTTTTCAGTTTCAGGCCATCGAATCGGACGATTGGCCCGATCCAGCCGTAGTGGGCACCCCGTATAAGGTTATCTAGTGTATTTTGTTCTGTGAAACTCACGAATTCGCCCTTCTCGGTCATGAAAAGGGTAATTTGTCGAGAAACAGAGGTATTTTTCGCTAACGCTATGCAGACTCTTCGACATTTTTTGCCCACTCTACAAAATGCATCTGCGTTTGTCACCGGAATATTCTATGGCCGTCTGAAACAAGGTGGAATTTACAGTCTCGACTAATTAGTGCAGTCTTCATTTGGAAAGGAGAGACCCAGCTCTGTCTAGAAGAAATTCAGTCTGAATACTGGGACGATAATTCCATCCATAATGGTATCCTGAATGTATTAAAGAGCGAAACATTTTCTCTTCTTTTTGCACTTTTTCAACAAAGTGTACACGCGCGTTGACGCTGTTTATGGGATCCTCTAACACAGAAGTACAACGCCCATAGCAGCCTAACAACTTCTAGACACGTTTAAAGTAGCTGTCGATAGAATTAGAAACAATATGCGTGTTCCATCAACAAGACAGACCACAGAGAAACACGCTTCCAAGAGACGCAGACATTACAACACCAACGAAATTGCTGCAAAGCAGGCCTGTGACATAGTAGTTACTCAAATTATGACAGTTTCTTGATGCAAAATAAAATCAACGCACTCTCAATCTGCGATTCCTCCAAATTCCCGGACTATCAAAAGTCGTTTCCAACAGTTCTGTTTGGATCGTTTACAGAAACATTACTGTTTTGTTTAAAATCAAATTACAAACAGAATTAGTATTACATTGCAATGAAATATGTAAATCTGCTCAGTGTCGTATAATCCAGGGCCTTTATCAACTCTGAAGGACAACAAATTCGAGACAACATTTAGGGAAGTATGCAAAATACCAGAAATTGCACTGACGTTTAAAGTCGATTCACAAGGACATCATTGACAGCATGCCCAACTTTGTCAACAGAATAATGGACGCTTTTGCTCCAGCAAAAGAACGGAAGGAAAACTTCTTCTTCAAATATTTTCTCAAAACAGGCAGGATGAAGAAAACATCTAATTTACTTGCCCTTGACTATCTTCAACCCACTTTAACCTAATTGTGCACGCCCACTTTTTAGACCCACGAGCCGCCCCTGACAATGACCTAATTGCGTCAGGGTTACAGAGGTGGGGCTAGAAATATAAATGGCAAGAGAATGGACCAATCGCACATCGCTGGGAGCACTCTGGTGGATTGCTCCAAAGCTATCATTATACGGACATTGAATTGTGTAGGCTATCGTGAACTGGTCTGAGATCGCGTTATTTTTAGACTGCCTCTATATGGGCTTTGTTCGGCTGGTGCACATTGAGATTGTGCCGCCTTATTAATATTCATGGACTGAGAAACTCGATCAAAACGTCATCGTTGTTTGGGTCGTCCCATAGAGCATTTTCCGAGATAGATTACACCACTGAACATACTATTTTTTACTTGGGTGAAGCTCAAGAACTTGATATGGTACAGTAGATGTTGTAGAGTTGTTGTAGATAATGTTGTAAAGCACGAATAGGTTCTGGCGAGGAACTTGTGCGGAAAACTGATTGGATGGTCGATTGTAAAGTAAAGGTTCTAATGTCACTTTGTGGGTGTTGTGCGCTAAAAATTTTGGGCGAGCCGCCCCTGGTCGTTAGCTAGCTACAGCTGGGACAAAAGCTTTTAAAAGTAGTTATTATTTAATGTTTCTAATCCCAATATTAAGCTTATTTAACGCATGTTTGATAACTTTTTGCGTAAAGAGCCTTCAGGCCTATAAGATTAATTTCTTGTAACAAGTTTTGCCTCTAAAAAGTGTCTTTGGTAAGCTATGACATATAATAGGCCAACCATCATGCGACTATGCAACATGTTAATTAATTCAGGTCATGAATTAGTGCTGTGAACAATCTCATTCTTCGCGTGACGGAATTTATAGTAGGCCTATTTTATATAAATAATTTATCAAGAAAAGTTTTGAATCATACGTCCCATTGTTGTGGGAAAATATTATAATATGATTAAGTTAAAGACAAATTGATACAAACTGTGCAAAGTATTGGTGATATCTTGATTCACTCAAGTTAAAGAGAGCCGCTAGCCGAGGATCGAATTATTGTGGACAAGTCTTTAATAGAGCTACAATTCTTGACTGCATGCACTACAGACGTTGTCTAGAATCTAGATTCTAGATCTATTAGGCCTAGATATCTATATTATTATTATAATTTTTAAAAAAAATTTTGGTTAGCCTAGCCTAAAGTTTGTAAGCTGAGGGTAACGTTACTGTGAAAAGCGAAGATTTATCATTTTAGTTCATGTATTAGATCTAGATCTAGATTTTAGATCTAGATTTCTAGATCTAGATCTGGAAAGTTAGATGCCCCCCAAAATATTTTTATAAGGCCTATGATTAAAAATTTATTATCAAGAAGAGGATTTTTCGTTGATTTACGATAATTTCGATGACAGTCGATCCAGGGGGGTAACTATGAAAGTACTAAAAAGACCTTGACCTTTTTTGCCTTGTCACAACAGGGCCACTGACCCGCAATACCAGAAAAATGGCTTCTCATTCTCTTATCGTCGCCCCTGTCTGGATTGACACGGACGAAGACTAAATGCAAGCTATTGCTCCAACTGGAACGAAGTATAATTGAACACATAATAGCGTTTTTGAAAACTTATCTGTCGGCCTTTGCAAGATAAGGTATGGTTCCCCTCAGTTTTGTAGACGCAAGCAGTGCAACAACGCGGTGTCGGTGTGGTGTGTGTCTGTCCCGCCACAGCCACTAGATTCTAGATATCTACCTGATTGATTCGACATTCAATGTGTATTAAAATTTTTAAATCATAAAATTGCTGCAAACAATCATCCATCCTGTTGCTACTACAGCCGACTGGACTGAGGGCACTCCCGTCCTGTTCAATTGCGGTCCAGTTTGGGGATAGGTCTTGATCTAGCTTGTTTTGACCCCACTGATGATTACTCTGGTTCTAAACTAAAATGTTAAGACTCTAACTCTAAATGATTACTTTTTGATGCGCGTGCCGATATAGAGAGATTACATAGCCCATCAAACTTGGTGATTTTGTAGTTTCGTTCGTTAAAGTTAACTCTTATCCTGTGTCTGTGCATAGATGCGAATCTTATCAGCAACCGATTACGTCGGACGTTCCGGGCAGGCCGCCGGGGTCACTCAGTGTGTACTGTTGGTGTACAGCGCGCGCGCGCCGGGAAACGTGTTTCTTCGCCATGAATACCGTAGTAGTGTGTAAATCGATGATGAAAATAACACTCTATCTTTCTTAGCTTTCTTTGTATAAAGTGTTATAAACAATGAATCCTCACACAAGCTTGTAAGACATTACGAGTGAGTAGTACGCCCATTCGAATTATAACCTTTCTAGATGCTCTTGTTGTTATGAATGACCTGAGGTTCGAAAAGACTATAGGTGAAGGAAGTGGCTATTCTCAACCGGGGTGAGAATAAAAATACGATCTACCTCTCACCCCGGGTGAGACTTGCCAGCGTAGGCTATTCTCACCCGGTGTGAAACAAGACCTGTTTTTCCTCATTTTGGAATACTGTCTATTGGTGTGGATGATCAAATTGATAATTTTTTTTAAAAGCCAAGAAAAAATTACGTTAAAGCACAAAAGTAAGCTAATTTGATCGTCTTCAAAGATGCTATGGCTGTTTCACTTTTCGAATCGAGCCGAACTACGCGGGTCGCCATTTTGTTTTGCCCGTAAGTTCTTGCAAGATCTACTCCTCCCCTCTCTCTTTCTCTGTCTCTTTCTGAAAACTGTCTATCGGTGTGGACGATCAAATTGACCAAAACAAAGTTAAAAAATGATGTTAAAAAACAAAACTAAATTGATTTGGTTGTCTACAAAGATACTATATGAACGAACTTATAAATTTTACTCAGCAATAACATCATTAATATAAAAAAATAAAACCCTTTTAATGGACACACGCTGTTATGATGGTGTATACTAATTATTTTCAATGTTTGAATGCACTACTGTTTGATAGTTTAAGATTAACAATATTCTGTATTTAACATACAATTACGTGTGCGTAAAAAATGCCCTATTTTCAGTATTATTATCTTTCTATGAAGAGATATAAGATGCACACATCAATCTACTTGCTCATGCAGCTTGACCAACTTATTTCCCTGCAATATGCATAAAGTTTTCAGAAGAAAACATATTTTTCCATGAGTAGTGGTTGATTTAAAAAGTCCTCATGCAAACACCCCCACCTTTTGGCAAAAGCTCAGTTCCCACAGTTCTTACCCCCAACTATTTATATTGGATTCATTGTTATTCGCCGGTTTGGGCTCCAAGAGTCAAGTGTAGGGCCCAGTAGGTGTGTTTCAGGGGGTGCTTGCCCCCCTGACCTATAAAAATGGGGGGGGGGGGGGGTTATTGGTACAATTGTACTAATAACTAGGCCAGGGCAAGATCGACTCTGGGACTGATTCTTTCGAGTCCAAATGAGGACTCAAAGAATCGATCTTGTTCACAGACTCACAGCTTCGAGTCCGCCCAGGGTCGATGCCTCCTGTCTCCTTTTTTTAGCCTTGTTCCTAGCCTAGACTCCGAGAATCGAGGCAAGAATCTCTACCGCACTATTACAGTCCTGTCATGGGATAGGCCTAGGGCTGTCCCACCCCACAGTCGAGATTCCACGTCAAAGCCTGCCTGATGATGCTTGTCGGGTGTCTCCTCAGGATGTGTCCAATCCATTTCCATTTCTTCACCTGTATGTCTTCTTTTACTGGCCTTTGGCTTGTTCTTGCCCACAGTTGAGCATTTGTGACTCGATTGTACCACTATCCTTTGTAGGCATCCATTTATGAAGCCCTGCAGTTTCCTTGCTGCTGATGCTGTGAGCCTCCATGTCCACGTTTGTTTTGAAGATCCTCTGCTTTGTGTTCAATCCCAGTTCCTTAAACATCCATATCTTCCTGAGGATGATGAATGCTGGTCTTGCCTTTTGGATTCTGACTTTGATGTCTTCATCTGTTCCCCCCGCCTTGTTGAAAGATAACACTTCCCAGGTAGGTAAAGGATTCAACATCCACTAATGGTGCCCATTGCAGTGTGATAGGAACGTCGGCTGCATTCATTCGAAGGATTTTCGTTTTATGCATGTGAATATGGAGTCCAACACTTCTGGAGAAGGTCCTGAGGCGATCTGTCTTTTGTTACATCTGGGCTCGACTGTGAGAAAGAAGTGCCAAGTCATCGGCAAAGTCCAAGTCTTCCTGCTGACTGGAAAAGGTCCACTGTATGCCACCGCATTGTCCCGATGCTGTCTCTCTCATTATCCAATCCTCTGCTAATAAAAATAGAAAAGGCCGTAGCAGCCATTCCTGTCTCACTCCTGTTTTCACTTTAAACGAAGGCCTCCAAGTAAGACACTGCAGCTCCTTCCCTCATACATCTTCTTGATCAATCTCACAATCTTGTCAGGTATTCCGTAGTGGCGCATGAGCTTCCATATTGAGTCCCTATCTAGACTGTCAAAAGTTTTCTCGTAGCAAACAAAGTTAACGTACAGGGAAGAGTTCCACTCTGTGGACTGCTCCACTATTATCCTCAAAGTTGCAGTCTGATCTGTACATTATCTCTTTTTACGAAATAGTACCTGTTCCTCTCGTATTTTTTCATCCACAGCTTCCTTCAGTCTTTCCAGTATGGTACGACTGAAAATCTTCCCAGGAATGGACAGGAGCATTATTCCTCTGTAGTTTTTACACTCATGCAGGTCTCTTTTCTTGGGTAGTTTAATCCTATGAAAATTTTTTCGCAGTCCCATATCTTGCCAATAATTCCATGAAGAATCCCTGCCGCAGTGTCGATATCCGCCTTGAGAACTTCTGGGGGAATTCCGTCTGGGCCGGCTGCCTTGCCTGCTTTCTGGTGTCTTATCGCCTTCTTGATCTCCTCTAAACTAGGCTTTTCTTCACTCACCCCCAGATCAATCTTTGCTGGTGGAATGTCAAACTTTTTCTGGCCTTGGTCTGTTCAGTAGCTCATTGAAATGCCCTTTCCAGCGTTGTTTCTGTTCGTCTGGATTTGTGAGAAGCTTTCCCTCTTTATCCTTCACTGGCACATCTGCGTTCCTGTATCTGCCTTCAAGTTTCTTGGTGGTTTCATACCGTCCTCTCATATTTCCTGCCCCTGCTGCTTCCTCTGCCTCGCACGCTAGGTCATCTACATGGTTTCTTTTATTTTTCCGTTTGTTGACTTTTACATCCTTCATTGCTTTGGTGTATTCTTCTTGGGCCTTTGCTTTGACTGCTCTTCTCTTGCTCCTTTTTACCTGATCCTTTTTCTTTTTCCTGCACTCAAACTTCCTCAAGAGTGGTGGCAGATATCCATGGCTTGTGCTCACGTTTCCCCAGTACCTCTTGACACATAGTGTTCCAGCCTTCTTTTGTTGGCTCCCATGTTTCGTCCACGCTGCTATCCTCACCTAGTGTTTCCGGCACTTAGAACCTGTTCTTAACTGCTACATTAAACTCCTCTCTTAACGATGGCTCTCTCAGAAATTCCTCGTTGTGCCGGCACCTATGATTGACAATCCTCTGTCTTTGATTTAGTTAGTCGGATTGTTGATATGAGCAGATGATGGTCCAAAGCTACGTCTGCACCCCTGTAAACTGTAACATCCATAGGAGCCGTGTTTTCTCATTCACATTTTTGATAATTCGCAAATAAAATGTTAAAAAAATCTAGCCATCTTAGCCCTCTTGCCAATAACTCTATGTGAATGAGTAAACATGGCTCCTAAAACTCCAAAATATAGATGTTACGTCAATTTTAATTCTAGGTAAGTAGATGTCACAGGATTTGCCAAGTCTCATTTCAAATCGGTATCCAATATACGGCTGCCTCGTAAACAAAAGAGAGTTCGTCACCGATGCCTACGTCTCATTCAAAACACATTAAGTTGGTAGCTCCAGATGTTCGTCCAATAGAATTATAACAAATCGATCCACTTAGAAATGAGGAGCTCGAAAGGATAACCAGAAAACAAGACTTCATTTTTCTGTGCCCACGAAATCTTTCAAATGAGCTTTATTTTATATAAAATAATATTACCTGATTAAAATAAGCTTATTTGAAAATTTTGAATAGCATTTGTGCTGGTCAAAAGAACAATTTGAGAGCAAAAAACATTCTGAAATTAACCTTTATTATTCCGTTTCGAACCTCAGATCATTCGTCAACAACAAGAGCATCTAAAAAGGTTATTCGAATAGATAGGCGAAACTACTCGTAATGTCTTCAGCTTATGAGAGGGGGTCATTCATGTCTTCATAACACTTTTTTTTTATAAATAGAAAGCTATAAAAGATAAAGTGTTATTTTCATTATCGATTAACCCTAACCCTAACCCTAACCCACGGTATGCCCGGCGAAATCACATACGTTTCCAGTGCAGCTCGCTGTACACTAACAGTACACGCTGAGTGACCCCGGCGGACCGCTCCCCGTCCGACGTAAGAAGTTAACCTGATAAGACTCGCATCTATCTTGGCACAGATGCAGGACAGGAGTTAAGAAGGCATTAGGTATAGTGCAAGTCAGTCTGGCAAGGCAAAACCAGCAAAGGGGAAGGAGACATCGGTCATTGCTGAACAGTTTGTGACATTCCCCGTAGCATTGAGCCCAGCTTCTTTTTTAAAGTTCAGCTCAGAAATTAACAATTTTCCTACTCCAGAAAACTTGTATGACATCACATGTTGTTTGATGGGCGCTATATGTTTAGCATTGTACTGTGGTGGTGAAGCTGGTGGTTGGCAATAGTTGTACTATGGTGCGGTTTGCTCCTTCTTTCTTCTATCAAACATCTATCACCCTGATCACGACTCCTTTTTTGTTTGTTTTTTTACTCTTGTAACACCTCTAATCTTCAGCACTTATAATATGACCTAATTGTGTTGCAAGTGCTGCTGTAAAACTTTTACTAAAACTAAATAGCAGTGAAATCAGGTTCTTTCCAAAATAATGAAATCAAAGAAACTGGCATTCAGACAATAATATTTGTCACTTTTTTTTTGGGGGGGGGGGGGGGGGTCAACACCTTTTATTTATGTCAATTTAAAAACAAATTTGTGAATGGATTTTACTGAAACTGATTTAACTTGATTGAAAACATTAAAAAAATGTAAATTTGCAGCTTCCAGGTTCACTCAACTTTTGGAAATCACTTTTAATGATGAGCATTTTCTTTGCTTACTTTACATCTGCTACCAGGCAACCCATATCTGCTTCAATCACAAGTATCTTGACTCTTGTTCAAGTTAGATTGTTTTGTTTTGTTTTATTTATGAAAAATTGCATCTCTATCAAAGCAAGACTAAGGAACAAGTGTTAAGACGTTTTCAGTAACTAAAATGGTCTCTACAGCTAAACAGGTTTGAGGGCTCTTTTATGAATGGAAAAATTTAGATATTACAAGGTGAAAGAAAGAGAAAAAGGACTTTTTTGTAATTTACTTATCCCTTAATTTGTAAAAATTTTAGTCTCAAAAGTTTATAATATCTCATTTCTTTGTATTTTGAACACATGACATGTGAACAGTCGAACTTGTCTCAATGGTCAGCCACCTGTAAAATAAGACATTTGCCTCTGTACAAACGGCAACTTCAGATTTCCCTCTTTGCAAACTTTTTAAAACATTATAATGAGACTTTGCATAAGTGAAGAAAGACTTCTCAGTGTAGTTCATTTATTATAAATGGTAGATGATGATTTCATCTGTGAACACGGATTAACAGGGACCATGAATGATACAGGTTCGACATAACATGAAATAGTATGGGGTACACCACATAACGTACAGTGAACATGAACTAATATCATATAACAAATAACCATAAATAATAATGGGCAAATGGGTGGTAGTCCATTTCGACTTTATAATTATAACAAAAAGACTTCCGCATCCCGTCAGTTTCACCATGTCTTACTTGCTTGTCTTACTTGTCCACTGTGTTGGGGTCACTGCAGTGGGAACATGTCCATCTCTGCTCTCCCCGCCTCTTCAGGATCCATCCCAGAGTCTGTCTGCTTATAGCTTATAGTCTCCATCATAATCTGGTCAGAGTTTCACCATGTGTTTGCTGCCAGACTATGTTTATCCTGCTCTTCCCTTACATAACAGGCTGTTTTTACCAGTTACATTTGCTGTGTCTCCAAATGGCACAGCTTTCCATGGGGACCGGCTTCAAAATAACCTGTTTATGTCTTGTGATAAAGGAACCAAAGATGTCCGCAGTCTTTGTTTGACGGATGTCACTTATTTACTGATGTTGCGTTAACTTTTTCTCTTCTTATTTTGTCTCCAGCGTCATGGGCACTGATGGAGCAGAGGAGGACGCTGTGTTCACCCACACTCTTCAAGGTCACGACCAGAAACTCCGCAACAACCTTCACCGACAGCGACAGCAACGACAATTTTGTGACCTGGCTCTTCGCACGGGGGACACAAGCGTTTCTGTACATGGATGCGTCTTAGCAGCATTCAGCCCCAAAATAGCTTCAATTGTGTCAGAAACCAGTTCGGAGCCGACTGAAGCTGAGAAGCAGTCAAAAGTTGGTAACTGTCGCACAGTGGATGTAAATTTCCGTTATGAAGCCGTGGAGATAGTGGTTTCTGCTCTCTACACCGGTGTTTTCCGCATTTCCAAGAAATACCTCTCTGAGGTCCTGTCTGCTCTGGAGTGGCTGGAGATTTCTGAACTTGCCGCAGTCACTAAACAATTTCTCGATGGCAAAAACAAAAAACCAACGATTGTTACTTCTGAAGAGAAAAAAGGAAGAGGGAGGTCGAAAGGTGTGTCGGCGAAAAAATCAGCTCAGACCAACCAGAGACGCAAAAGCAAATCAAATTCAGACGATTCGAAAGATCATGCTCATTCTAAGGACGAAAATAATTCTGGGGAAGAAACAGAGGTCATTGCTGTGGAGGCCTCAGACTCTACCCCTGTGCAGTTGGGGTCAGACATGATAGTGAAGTCTGAAGTGAAAGAAGAGGTTGAGGATTCCTCGGCGCCTCTTGACACCTCTTGGTCGTCTGCGGCTAAACCAGATGGTGCTGAAGCAGAAAGCACTGAGCCGGTGGAGACCTCAACTACAGCTTCTCCATCCACTGCCAAAACCTCGTCTTCTGCTCGGAGACGCAAGAGAGGGCGCCCGGTCAAAGTGAAGGTGGACACACTCACAAAAAAATCTCAGGGGAAACTGTCTGGGGCTAAAAAGCGAAAGCAGACGAAATCTGGTTCGGACCGATCGGCGTCCGGTAGAAGGAAGAGCCCGAGACAGCAAGTGAAGAAGACGAAACCAGAAAAGCAAGTGGAGACAGAAGAAGTAACAACAGAGGATGTTGGGGTAAGCCCAGATTGCCTTTGTGTTTGTATTTCGTTCATACTTTTCTCCTTCATCTTCACCTTCACCTATACTGTAGTCCGGCCGACTGTTGGTACACCACTCACTGCAGATTTTGCAAACCAGCTTCTTCCACTCCTCGCGGTTTTCCGCTTTCTCAGTTCTGTCGTAAGATGTTCCAGGCATGGCCCACCCGTTCTTTATTTTGTCTTCCAACCTATTGTTTCCTCTGTCTGCCTCTTCGTTTCCCTCTTCTTGTTCTGTTCCCTTGCAGGATAGTCTTGGCCAGTCCAGATGACCATGTGACAAGGCTGAACCACTTTAGCTGCATCTTTTCAGTGGTATTTATAATTTTGTGTTAGTAGTTTTATGAGAATACAATTGCAACTCCCCACATTCCAATTTTAAAAAAATGATGTGGCCTTTGGCTGCCCCAACCCATCCCCACCCTCATGGCCTATCGGGGGAAAAAACATTATTACCCCCGGACAATCTACATCATGTGCTGTTGTCTAGCTTTACAATCTTCTGTTTACAGAGCCTTTGTAATCACACAAGGCCACGTAACCCTTAGAAAAACATTTATTAGGTCAAAGCCAGGAGTAAGGTAAACATTGGTTTGACATGGTGTGAAAAATTTCCCACACCTTTTATTGTGGGTGACGGCTAGTTTTCTTGAAACTGACTCGCCATAATTTTACACTGGATTGTGGGTGGTTGGCGGATGCTCAGGTGTGGTTTACTTCTTCTTTCCTATCAAACATCTATCATCCTTTGGGTCTCTCCTCTTTCTTTACTTTGTGTGTTTCTCTCTTGTGACTCCTCTACTAATCTACAGCATTTATACCAACTAATTGTATTGCAATATTGTGATGCATGTGTCGTTAAACTCTTTACCAGAACTAAAGTTTGCAGAGAGCAGTGCAGTACGTGTTTGTGTTCAAACAATTTGTAAAGAGTTTGATTTTTATTTTTTTTGCTTTTTGTGTTGTTTTTTTCTTTTAGGAACAGGATGATCCGAAAGTGCTGTCTCAGGGTTTGGAGACGGAGTTGGACTTTATCCTGGGCCGCGTGGACCACCTGCGTTGTGAGAAGTGCTTCCTCAAGTTCTACGACCTGTCGGACTACAACGAGCACGTGAACAACCACCCGACGCACACCTGCGGGGAATGTGGCAGCGTGTTCTATCGCAAGCAGAACCTGACGCGGCATATTCGGCAGACACACATCGGCAACGCCCACCTCAAGTGCCGGCACTGCGACGTGGTGGCCAAGACGGAGAAGGCCCTGAGGCGGCACGCCCTGGACGCCCACCAGGAGAAGAAGCCGTTCCACTGCGACCACCCCAACTGCAACTACAGCTCGTGGAAGTTTGACTTTGTCGTCCGCCACAAGATGATCCACGACGAGGTGAAGGCCTTCTCCTGTGACAAGTGCGGCATGTCCTTCTCGCAGTATGCGGGCCTGACCAGCCACCAGAGAGCCTGCTACCAACTACAGCAGTACCTATGTGACCTGTGCGGGCAGAGCTTCAACCACCAGCAGAGCATGAAGTCTCACCGGCGCAGCATCCACCTGGGCGAGAAGCCCTACCAGTGCAAGGAGTGCGGCAACTCATTCAGCGACCACCGCAACCTGCGGCGGCACATGCGCATCCACGAGAACATCTACCCGTACTCGTGCCCCGTGTGCTGCCAGCAGTTCCGGCACTCCAACTCGCTCAAGGCGCACATGAACCGGCACAAGGACGTGGCGGAGAACTTCAACTTGGTCACGCCCTCAGACGGGAGGAACCGGCTGGGCGGGGCCAGCTACAAGAAGGTGCGTCGGGGCCGTGGCTCGAAGGCCACAGCGACGGCCAAGTCTGGGAGCGGGCAGCTGGAGGACTCCAAGTTTGGTGTGGTGGATAAGCTCGGCTTGTTCGACAAGGGCCTCTCGCAGATCCCGCTGTTTCCCCCAGCATCGTCGCCATCATCACAGGACCTTCTTGGACACCAGGACGACTCCAACTTCGACAACAGCCACAGCAACGACCTTGACATGGCGCTCGACCCGTCCAGACACCTGAGCTCAGCGTACGCTTACGGGCCTCGGGCTGCAGGCCTTATGGGAGCTCGTGCAGGGATTGGAGAGGCCGGAGGGGGTGAGGAGGGAAACGAGGAGGAATTTGGGATGGCCAACTCTAGCGGTCACTTTAGTGGCTTACTGGACAGGAATTTTTACGGCCTCTACTCTTCGGGGGCTGCCATGGGGCCACCTGATAGAGCCCTGGTGTTCAGCGGCCATCCAGGGACGTACATCGCCCCACTTGAGCTGACTCAGCATCAGCAGGGCCACCGCATGTCTCCGAGAGACCGTTACCGGGGCAACGAGATGCTGCGGGAGGCAGAAGGAACTAGCCACTGGCTGGAGAAGAAGCAGGTGGCTTTCCCCATGCCGCACAGTACGGGCTTCTCTCACGGGTTCGACCCACGGATGGTTTCCTCGGCCTCCTCCACCGCATCCCACGTGGCCAACAGTCGGCACCACGGCCCGCCCGCCTCCAGGCACCACACCGAACCGCTCAATCTGAAAAGCCCGGCTCCGGACGTCGCTTTTGAGATGGAGTCATCACCGTTCCGCTACCCGGGTCACCTTCACCCCGGGTCTCGCCTAGACCAGCAGCAATCTCCTCAAGCCTCGGTCGACGCAGCATCGCGAAAGCGATCCGACGGCTACCCCCCGCACCAGGACTCTTCTTCCTCTCCACTCCCGCCCTCGACAGATTCCTCCGTCTCTCAAGGTCATGATGGAGGAGGGGGCAGCAGTGGCGGCGGTGGTCACCATGGAAAGTCTCCACACGAGCAGAAAGATGCTTTGAAAAAGCACAGCGACCTGCTCTCGGGTGGGGCTTCTATCTCGATGGGTTGTGAGAGTCCGGAGGTCAAACCTCTGGTCAAACACAGCAGTATGGTCCTCATCGACTCGGAGGCCCTGATGCAGAAGGTCAGCAGTTCCGCCTCCACGTCTGGTCTTGCAGCGGCTGCTGGCCTAAGCCTGAACAGCATGATGGCCGCAGCGGTCGGGCCGCTGTCGATGGGGGCAGCGGCTCGCATCTCTGTGGCGAACCCCGCGGGTAGCGAGAGCCAGGCCAAGTTCACTCCCTTGGTGCCCATAAAGGACGGATTATCGTCGTCGTCAGCGACACACCTCATCCCCGTGATGCAGCAGAACGCTCTAGGGGGCGGGGCCACCACTGGGCCGCCTGCCTTCCCCGGGATGGACAGAGCGAGCTCCTCCTCCTCCTCTCTGCAGAACCTCCCGAGGGACGCCAGCGGTGACAGCAGGTCGGCCCCCACCATGGACGATCCGTACGCCGGCTCGCAGCTTCCCCACAGCAAACAGCACCACCACCACCACCAACATCACCACCATCACCATCACCCTCATCAACAGCAGCAGCAGCATCATCCTCAGCAGCAGCAGTTGCAAACGTCCTCCGACAAGGGTATTGTGGACGGCAAGGAAAAAGCTCCCGGTCAGACCTACGCTGGTTTGGAGACATTAGCTGACATCTGTTTCCATAGTTCCTCCGACTGACAACTGGTTTATCCAGCGATGGCCCATCCAACCAACATGTTCTGCCTAGCTAACAGGTGGAATTTTGTTGCAGTGCTTTTTTTTTTCAAACTCTTAAAGGATATCACGGAACCATATAGATCTGTGTCTGAACAGCAATGGCGTGGCACATTTTGAACCATCATGCATCACCTGGAAACTGACTTTGAATCTTGCATTGTATGAATTGAAAAATATCCATGGGTAAGGAAGGTAATTGACTTTTGTTAAGTGTCCGAAAAGGTTGGGTCTTCACACGTTGTGCATCCTCTGTGAGATAAGGTGATGATTGTCATCCTTGAACGAGCTAGTAAAATATTTCCCCCCATCTAGATAGAGTGTACACTGACTGTAATGCATAGAAAACTGACTGTAATGCATAGAAAACTGACTGTAATGCATAGAAAACTGACTGTAATGCACAGAAACTGGTTTCACTTCAACAAAGGCAATGGGCACTGTAGAAATCTGTTGGGGTGGTGACGGTGAAAAGAATTTTTACAGGAAAAGAAGACCATGGTTTAAATCATTTTTTGATACAGGGTGATCGCAAACAAATTTCTGCCACTAAAATCCAGGTAAAAGAAGTATTTGTACATACATATATATCTATGTAAATGAGAAATTTGGTGTTTTGAAATCTAACTCTGTGGACAGAGTTTTAAAACAAAATTCTCAAAATTGATTCGCCCATCTAGATAAGAGTGAGATTCATGTGAGAGCCATATTTCATTCACCTCGCATGGGTCTCTTTCAAACTGCTGAGGGAACCACTAGCACATGGATGTTGACCTGTGATGCTGTGTCTTTATATGGCTTAGTTTTTCTTTTACTGCTGTACGATACAAATGTAATAATAATAATAATGATAATAACAACATATGCATAGGATTATTTTGTATAGTGCAAATTCCTGTTCAGCAACTATATTTAAAAATAAAATAGTTGTACATGGTGATCTACCCTCTTGGATGTTGGGATATGATGTTCATGACGGAGACTGAGACCATGTAGTGATATCCTTCAAACAGACTTGCGCTTCCGGTCTCTTCTTTCATGTCTTGACTGTCTCACTGACATTTTTTTCAGGATGGGCTTTGATAATGTCCTACTTAACACACTCAACATTCCTTTGAGTCATGGATGTTTGGCATATCTCAGAAAATGATTATTGAGCCCCCTGTGTTTAGAATTCAGGGTTAGTGCTGCAATTGTTCAATTGTCCATAGATACATCGTCAAAAAGTACATTGAAGTGAAATTTGCATACTTTTTTTTATGCGCAAAGTTGTTCTAGTTCTATATAAACTGTGAATTTACATTGAGATCGATGTATTTATGGAGAATTTATTTCAGGAAATTAAGACAGACATTTTTTTGCAATCACCGTGTTTAAACATAACGAGTATAATATAACAAAGTTTTTTTTTATACATACCTGTCAATAAAAATTTCGTTTTTTCGAGTGCCTTGGACCAAGGTTGTAAGTGTAGTGTAGATAAACTATGGATAGCGTTTTTCTGTCTGAACGACTCGCGTAGATGAATGCTCGTCATCTTTGCTTGTATTATGACTCATGACCCTGTCCGTCTAGTTCTGTGCTCACAGCATATGTAAGGTTAATCCCCCCCCCCCCCCTCTTTTGAAGATGAATAGATAACAGGAGGAAATGAGAGAGTGAAAAAAGTCTTGATGACTTGCCGTGGGCCCCTCGTCTTTCATTCTGACTCCCCTCTCAATTTTTGAGGTTTAAAAAAAAAATGTTTTGATCCTTGCAAGCCAGTTTTGACCATTATCGTATCGATGTGTTTCTCATTACTCAAGCCAACAAAAAGCAAGCGAACCTGACTGAGTACGTGGATGGGTGACACACAAGTAGATTCAGCTGGAGGCCTGAATGTGTACTTATTGTTGTACAGAGAAGATTGTCGGGATTCATTTTTTTGTACTTTGACTTTTTTAATTCATTGTAGTCAAGACTTTCCTGCTGCTAGTATTCATTCAGATATTTTATTTTTGGAGAGCGTTTCTCATTTTTAAAAGAATTATGCCACGATGAACTATCATCTTGGCTGTTGGACAGTCGAAGTTGTCCAAAATGGCCATCCAGTTGCTACCCCAGAATTCAAAGTTGTATCTCTGCTCAGCACCTCTAGTTTTGAGAAATTTGACGTAAAAAAAAGTTTTGAGTTTAACAACATGTCAAGCTTTGTCCAATGCACTTCTATCTCAATAGCGACTCCGAACAATCTTTAGATTTTGATAGAGCAGATAGACCCGTTTGTTATATATGACCTCATGGTTTTTAGTAACTCAAAACGGCCAAAAATGTCAGGTGGAACTTTGTAATTCTAAGGTACCGATAGCGCATTGGACAGTGTGATTAGAAACTTTTAAAATGTATAAAAAATGTATGGAAAGACTTGAGAAGTGGCTGTTTGTGTAGATGGTTTGTCTTAGGCAGGTGGTCGTTAGAGCAGATTGGACTGTATCAGGATAAAAAAACAACCCAGATCGGAGACTGTGTGATTACACTGAAATATGGTGTTACTGTCTCCAAATTAGCAATATGGAGGCTAGGTTACTGTAAATGGTCAAACATTTATTGTTGTGATCCTGTGTGTGCACCCAAAGGCTAGAGTTTGTTACAGGGTCCAAGTAAAGACACTTAAACTCACAGAATCGAGATTTTGTGAAAAAAATATTTTTGTTTGGCCCCTGGCCTACAGGAGCACCATGCGAGGTTTTTGCCCATTGGCAAATTAATAGGTAGATGAGGTGGAGGTTTTTTATGTAGACTGATGAAGGTGAACAAGCGATTAGTTATGTAGAATTACTTTGGAAAAGTGTGCTTATATTAAGTTATATTGTCGTTCATGCTTGAATCATCTTGGCTTTGAAGCAGTATATATATATATATATATTAGATAATGTATATATATATATATTATATTTAGTCACGTCTGGCTTGCATATTTTGTTTTATGGAGCATTGTTGTTGTTGTTGCCCTGCACAAAATATTGAGGAGAAAGGTTTGATTCCTTCAAGTGTTCCATGATATTTGTGTTGTGTTACTCCTTGGGGAAGGGATTTTGTGTAAGAATTTTCCTCACTTCCTTTCAGGTATGAATGTGTATCAGGTCGAAAACAGCAAAAGATCTTGTCAGCATGTTAACGGCACGTTTTAGCACCTGTGAAATGGCACTTGCATTGTGTGCTTCCCAAGATGTTGAGATTGTTTTACAATGCTATCAGGTCTGCTGATGTACAGTAGTCTTCGTAACGTGGTGCTCGAGAGGGCTCCGAAGTGTGCGTTTACAAGGAACTTGTCTATGTGATCCTGTGCAAATGGGGAAAGGGACACAACCGTCATATTTTCTGGATATTTTAGTGATTACCTCCCGTGAGTAGTGGGGGTTTTCTTTAACAATTAATTACTGTTTCATAAATGATTCTCTGGTGGCAGTTACGTCTACAAAAGTGAAGTGACTGTGTTTGTGTATCTAAATTATATTGTGAGAAGCTTTGATTTTTAAAAAAGCATGCGTTTGAGTGAAGCATGTCTTTGTATGGCGTGCTTTGGGAGGGGGAGACTACTGTATTTAGATTGTAAAGCACATTGAGCTCATTGAAAGTGGGAATTTGCTCTGCACTAATGCTATTTATTATTATCTTATTATTGAAGCAGAAATTCACTCAGTTTGGTTTTAGAGGAATCTAACTTTAACTTTAAAGTGTGTTTGTTATTTTTGGAAAGATTTTTTACTTTGCCTGTTTAGTGTTCTGCTTTAAATAGTCAATGATGGTATATACTCGTGTTCTTCACTTTTGGTAGCAGAAGATGTAAGTTTCATTCCTCTGTGGGGAAGTCTATTTTTGTCAAGTACTTCCATCTTTAACTACTAGAACGATATGTGTGTCTCGACACGTTGGAATCGGGTGCTCGTCAGATTTTGGGCATATGGCATTTATTGGTATCATTTTAAAGCTTGTTCATTTGTCCTGCTTTTGAAGACAAAAATAGCCATCTTAAATAGAAGTCGAGATATTTTCAGTTAGAAGAGGTGGGGGTGGCCTGGTTCCAGTAGTAAACGAAGTGAGAAAATATGGACCCCAAAATTTGGCAACCTCCATAGCTTTCGACTTTAGAGTCCTCGGACACTGGTCATTTACATTATGTTTGCCTTTATTCAATTTTTTTCAGTGAACCAAATTTCACACAGAAATTTGTTTTTAAATCTAATAGACATAAAAGGTGATAAAAGCAAAAAAGCATGAAACTGAGATAAAATTTGCCTAACACTAACCTGCAGGAAGATGTCAATTTCTTCGGTTTCGTTATTTTGATGAGTGCCTGATTTCACCACAGTGCCTCATTATGTCATGTTCAGCCCAGATTAACCATGAAGGACAATCTGACGAGGCGGAAGCAGCCCACTTTTAAGTTAAATGATTTAGTTTGTGTAGATGAAGGTCTTTGGTCAAGTGCATGCAGGACCCTTGCTTGCCCCGTTGTCCTTTATTCGGCTTCAAATGAAATTTAGATCTAGTTGAATAGTGAGCTCCATAGTGAAGCGGGATGATGTTAGCAGAGTGAACGATTAAGGATATACTAATTTATAGCACGTCAAGTGTATTGAAAAAAAAAAGAATGAGGGATGCATTTTTTCTCCACATGCAACGCGTTTCTGGTGAATATATTTAACTGGTCTTACAAAACCGTAGATCTGTAAATAGGCCTACGTGACACATGTTCTGTGTTATTTGTGTTGTATTATCAGAGTAGGAAGTAAATTCTGCGGACAATTTTTTTCTATATATTATCTTTTAAAAAAAAAAAGTATTATCAATGATTGCTATGTAATAGTACCCCCATGTCTTTGATTAGAAGGATTTTTTTCTAAATTTTTACAAAGAAACTGTGTGGTCTTCGTAATTGTACTAAAAGACAATGTATACTGTGCAGGGGAATGGTGGTTAAGCATGAGCAGCTAGGGATGACTTTTTGCTTTTTAAACTGACTGCGAGGATGATAAGAGGACCGATTTATTTTTTGCCTCGTCCCCTTTTTTTTAATGCTTTGATAGCTTCACACTGCCTTTTGTTGTACTAGACTTTTTTCAGAATATAATAACTGTTCATTTTAATTTTGATTTTGTTTTGTTTTTGAACCTTGTTTTCAGTTTGCAGCCTGTTGAAAAGGCTGGGTAAAATGTTAACAGAGGAAAGATTACAGATGGGTCAGGTCTAATTCTTACTGATTTACATTCCAAGCCTTGATACAGTCGAAAAAGCAGACCAAATTGTCCGAGATTGCTACCTGTTGTCGTCAAGAAAAGTCGTTGTCTTAGACAGAGGGACGTCTTAGACAGTGTCTATATAAGGTAAAAAGAACTGCAAGCGGGAAAAATGGCAAGTGGTCATTTGTACTGGTGATTGTCTTGGACAGGTGGCTACTAGAGCAGGTTTGACTGTATGCCGTTCATGTTTCCTTTAAAAAAAAAATTTTTGTTTTAAGCTTTGCTCAGAAGAAAAAAAGGGAAACAGTGGAAGTCATATATATGAGGCGTACTGACAAAATGGGTTACTTTTCGCTATCCAAGAATCTAGATATCGGCCAAAAATCGACACTGTTGACAGATTTATTGATTTTCAATTGGTGCCATTTTCTTAAAATTGATCATGTCTTTTATTATTTCATTCTTACAAATTGTACGAACTCCACCAATAAATTTGATGTAGCAAGTTCCTTAAGGCTAAAACCTGAGAAGTAACTCATTTTTTTCAGCATGCCTCACAAATGTCATTTTCTCATTCAGTGTGGAGGGCTTCAGTGCTCGTGTTGGTAGAAGTTTTATTATTTTTCAGGTCAAGGTGAACGGGATTTTTCTGATCATGATTCTTTAGGTCTCCACGAAAAATTGATATCTCGTTTTTGTTGCACATTAGTTGGTTTGTTTTGTTTGTTTGTCTTTTTGTGTTTGGCTTTTTTAATGATTGAGTTGTATTATTATTTTTTTTTAGTAGAGGGTTTTGCGGCGCTCGTAACTGCATAAGGTCATATGAGCGCCAAGGGGTAGGTGTCAACAGAGAAGTCTTTACAGGGAATCAGACTTACTCTGCTCACCTCTCTAGCTTCAACAGCACAAGGTCTGCTTCAACTATCAAGGCACCCCAGAAATAGCAGGTCTCAAGAGAGTGACAAACATACAAAATAAGTAGAGGAAAATGACAATAGTAAGGATTAGGAAAGAAAAAGCAGCAGTTCCCTGTTGCAGATCGGGCACAGTTATGAGCGTGACCTGAATCAGCCCATTTACAATTCTTCTGTGCATGAACGAGAAATGTCCCCCCTTTGGGAACTGCGTAAAGACACTTCAGTCAGTGGTACTGCCCCGGGGGGGGGGGGGGGGGGGGGGTGAGAGTTGTATTATGAAAGAGATAAAACATCTTTAGTATAAAGTGTCTTGACCAGATGGAATCGGGCACTGGTTCATTTTTGTATAATGGAGTTATTGATATTTTCTTTAAGACTGTTGATTTTCCTTGCTGTTGGTGAAAAAATTTGCCCTTGTATCTTGAATAGGTCTTGAAGGTGATGGTTCAAGCCGAAGGGCTAAAACTCAGATGGTCGCTGGATCGATAAAGTAAAAGTAAAGTAAGGAGATAGTGGTCGCTTGGTGTTTGAGGTAAAACTAGCGAGAAAACGACCGTCAAAGTTTGTTAACTGCCAGAGCTGTAGTGTCCTTTATTAGGCCTCTGACCAGCATGTTTCCGAAAAAGTCCACGCAGGTTTGTGTTTTTAACCACACACGTAAAGGTGTTTTGTTAAAAACCTATGACAATGATAGAAATGACTAAACGGAGGGGAAATGTTGATTTTTTTGTTGTTGAAATTTCATTATTTTGATGAGCACCTGATTTCGCTACAATGTTTCATATATTATAGAATCAGTCTTTTTCCACAAAGGCCTAAATCATATTTTGAAATTTTGAGAAAATGATTGTGTCATTTGGGGTGAAAAATCACTTAACTAGATCTAGTATAAAATCTATGTACATAAATATGGACAATGTATTTTCTTTATGAAGAAGTGAAACAAATATTATATATTGTTTTTGTGGCTCTTGGGTTAAAAAAAAAAAGAAATGAAAAAAAGGTGATACTATGGATAGCAGATTTTAAAAAGGTCAGTCTTTAGTTGATGTGTTTCATCCGTTTACAGGATTTTAAAAATATTTTTTTTCGTTAGTAGTGTTGTACGGTATTATTATTATGCCTGTAGTTTGGGCTTATTTATCGGCATGGTTAGTGTAGTAGTAAGATGCTTCGCCACTGCAATCTGAGGATAAGTTCGATTTCAGTAGTGGGAGGATGTTTTTTTATCCAGTGTCTCCATCTGTCTGTTGAGACATTGTATCCCTCTCAGCCCGGGTCAGTTCTGACAGGCAGGGTCAAAGCAGCCTGCCTCTTTAATGATTTAAATTGCGTGTGGATTGGAGTGTGTAAAGCGTTTGCGCTGATGGTTGTCAGGTGCTCTTGTGTGGTTTGCTCCTTCTTTCCTATCAAACTTCTATTGTCCTGATCTCTCCTCCTCCATTTTTGTGTTTGTTACTCTCTCGTAACACCTCTAATCCATGGCATTTGTATGACCTTATTGTATTTTACGAGTGCTGTAAAACTCTCTGAAACTGAGAAATGTCTACAATTACATTGTAGCTTATATGTTCGTCTTCATGCATTTTGTATGGCTACAGATCCAGCACAATAATGTACAGTATTTCCAGTTTCTACTCATATGTTTTTGTATCGTATTCACTACTACTTCTTTCATTGCCAAGATGGAAATGACAGTTGGTGCGTTAGCATTCATTGAAATGCAAAATTTTGGTCTTTCTCTTTTTCTTTTTTTCCCCCCCGTACGTTTCATTTTTCTTTTCTTTTTTTTTTTAAAGCATGAATACAAATTTTCTAGGGGATGAATAGAGGGTGCCAATGGTAGGTCTTACTTCTTTTCAAAAGTTCTGTTGTTACTGTCTTGTCTTTGTACTATTGCCAAGCACTAAATTGTTGTTATTCTGTCGGTGTGCATCTCATTACTTGTTGTTGGAGGATGCTCTGGTGTGATTCTCTCCTTTTCCATAAAACATGATCTGTCGTCTTATCTCTATCTCTCCTTCTCTGATTTGTATGTAGTATTCTTCTCTAGTAACACGTCTAATCTTCGGCACTATCTTATGACCTAATTGTGTTGCAAGTGCCGTAAAACTCTTACTACCGGTAACACTTCGACAAAACTAAGATGAGCTCAAAAAACACGTTTGTCTGCTGAGAAATTTGTACATGTATTAATTTTAATAATAAATAATATTGATAAAGATAATTTTTATAGCGCCTGCTCCGTTGTGAAAGCAGTTGCAGATGCTGTACACTGTACATTTTTGGGTCTGTGCTGTCGCTGCTTTGGCTCCATTCTTGCAAGGGATTGCAATGTGTGTGAATGACCACATGCATATTTAAACATGTTTTACGATTTTTAGATATGCATTCCTTGTTGTGGTGTTTGGTATACATATGGTGCGTTATTTGTGAAGTAGTTTCTCAATAATTCCCACATTGCTTAGGCTCTAGACCTGTCTACTGTCACAGGTCTAGTTCATAAGCTGATTGATATAATAATATCTATGTATGAGGTATGCTGACAAAAGGATTTACGTTTCAGATTTTAGCCCTTTGGAAATAATAGTCATGTCAAATTTAAAGGTTGTAGGTTGTTTTTTTTCCAATTTATACGGATGAAATGATAAAAGACGTGTTGTATGTTAAACTTATCTTAAAGTTTGAAAGTGGGTGGTTGGCGGGTGCTCTGGTGTGGTTTGCTCCTTCTTTCCTATCAAACATCTGTCGTCATTATCTCCCCTCCTTCTTTTTTGTGTATGTTACTCTCCTGTTACACATCTATTCTTCGGCACTTATATGACCTTATTGTGTTGCAAGTGCCGTAAATCTCTTACTAAAAAAACTAAAAGTTTGAAATCTACAAATTTGATAACATGTCGAATAATTGGTGTAAAACTTTGTTATACCTACTCATCACTTTTCTGAGCAGAGTATGGCGGAGTCTCACTCTCAGCAGTCAATTTGTTTTGACCACTGTGTCGAATTTGTGGCCAATATCTCCTTTTGCAGATTGAGAGACAGTAACTCATTTTGTCTGCATGCGTGACATTATATTATTATAATTATGAATCATTAATGTTTATCAAAGATGTGGGATTATTGTAGCTTTATCCTGTGATTGCCATTACAACCATGATTAATTATCATAATAATATAATTCATACATTAATTGCTGTATATTTTAGCTCATGAGTACTTAATTACTGTACTAATCACTAAAGCCATGTTTACTTTTGTACGTTTGTGTATAAATTTGATCGTCACAGTTATGATCATATAGTATTTGTATGTTTATGCGAACATATTATAAATGTTTTTGTGAACGCTCATTAAAGAAAATACAATATTCTGACACAATCTGATTTTTAAAAAAAAATTTTTTTGGGTCCCATGTCCTGATTTTGGTGCCTATGTTTGTTGGTTAAGTAAGAATGTATTGACCTGATGCAAATTGTTGTTTTCTAGAAAAACGGAACAAGAAAAGGGGGAATTGTTAAGTCGGTGATGGTGATGGTGATGGTGACGGTAATGGTTAGTGTGATGATGATCATGATGATGATGGTGATGGTGACGGTAATGGTTAGTGTGATGATGATCATGATGATGATTGTTTATGGTGACGATGATGATGTTCTGGTGTTGGAAATGACGTGCATATTAGTCTTAGAAGTTTGTTTGGTGCTTACTCTAGATCCCCGCCAGGCTGTCCTGGGGGGCAGGACCCAGCCCTCATTCTCAACTCCTCGCATAGAGTGACCAAAAATTTGGAAATAATTCGTTATATTCATCCCTGGCATTTAATAAAAGTAGGCCGATAATCACATGGGGGCCGCTTCTAAGTGATGACGTTGTTAGTGTGTTACCGAACGACTATGCTATCATATTTTCAAAACAGTGAAAGGAGTGTGGCCGATAAATCTTTGTAATATTGATTGTCATAGTCAATGCAGACTAACTTGTGTGTTTACAAGTTATCGTTATCGTCATTCGCAACTGGTCCCGAGGCACTTCTGTGCTATATATATATATATATATGCTCACAAAAAGCAACCCACAGTACTGGAGTTTCGGAAGCGAAGTTGCGTCCAGCGAGAACTCAGACACCACAGGCTTTAAAAGTCCCCGTCTCCAAAGATATAGTACATTAATAGGCCACTATTAATGTAATAGAAAGACTGACCAGTTAATATTAAGTGCAGGAAAGTTTATTCTATCAAATTACTTCCCTATTCTATCCACATATGATGACACGCGACCGCAAATGGCACCATTAAGTCTGACTAAGAGTATAATGAAGGCAAAAAGATGTTATAAAAGTAGGCCTACCATTGGATAATTAAATTACGTAAACACACGTATATAAAACGCAAATCCACACACACTTGCACACACACACACATAGCTATGTATAACAATAATAGTCTTCCACTTTAGCTCGCTCTCATGCGGGGACGAAACAAATTTAAGCAGAGCCGGCCAAACACTTAAACAAATAAAAGTGGCTTGAGATGGAGACTTGAAGCCTAAACTTTAGCTCTTAGCCCACAAGTGCCTTCACTCTCATACATTTCTATGATATTTCTTACTTTCCCCTACTTACATTTAGATAGACACAATCTGACTTCTCTTCTTTGATATATTATTATTGTGGTGAAGCTGGGGGGGGGGGGGTCCGAACTCCCAACTCTATGTGTTTGGAGTGGACGCCCGGTGGGTGTTCTGGTCTGCTCTTTCTACTTGACTGAGGTATTAGTGAAAATGCACATATGCAACTTTGCTGCAATAAAACTACATGTGCAAGGGCTCTTGTCTATATTTTGATCCCACTTGACTGACACTGAGTCGTTTTTTAACAACTTTTTAATTAAACTCTGGGTTGTAGAGAGCTCATCTTTTGACACCACAGAATTTTTAAGTGTAGAATTCTGTGTTTGACACAATATGGGCGATTACTCCAGCATCGATATAATCACGAAAAAAAAAAATATCGAAAAAATAGCCCTTGTTGGGTTCTTGCCCACAGCCTGTGATTTGAGCCCTGATAAACATGGTCCGTACCTATATATCTATTTAACACGTTATAGAAGTTTTTTTATGTTTTAAAAATCTAGGCTTTTCATCCAGACCCCCCCCCCCCCCCCGCCCCTGCGCCAAAGAAATCCTCATTACTGATTAAAATTAGGATTATTATCTATTATTCATTTCATAATGGATGAAAATGACAATATTTTTTATTGTTTATTCTTATACTTATTGTGGTTTTTATTATTGTTCTTCTTTTTTTCGTTTTCTTCTTCTTCTTCTTCTTCTTCTTCTTCTTCTCCTTCTCCTTCTCCTTCTCCTTCTCCTTCTCCTTCTCCTTCTCTTTCTCTTTCTCCTTCTCCTTCTCCTTCTCCTCCTTCTCCTCCTTCTTCTCCTTCTTCTTCTTCTTCTTCTTCTTCTTCTTCTTCTTCTTCTTCTTCTTCTTCTCATTATTATTATTATTACTAGTCAAGCACACACATAGGGAATTGGGCAAGGTGCCGGATACCTTTTTTGTTATTAAATGTACCAATTTCGCTGGGTACTGTTTTAGATGCAAAGAAAATATAAAGAGAGGAACAATGTTGAGCCAAGACATCTATTTGTCATGCGTATGTTGGTTATGTGTAGGCTAGACTATTATTGTAGTATGTTCAACCGCCAAAATGATCGTGAGAATATCTCATAAAATATTTATTCCCACTTTGGGCAAAATCATATTCATAAACTTTAAAACTCAATGTGGGAATCATGGTCTCCAGATTTTTTAAACACTTAAGTTAACCAAAGATGTGAATACACAAACTAAAAGCGAAAAAGAAGAACATAACAGTATTACAGTTTGGAGGATTATTATAACATATTAATATAATATTATGACAATTTTCAATTTGATGTCAAATTTGGCTGTTTTTTTGTCTAGCCTTTCGCGGCCATGTTTTGGCCAAGCTGATGTCGTATTGTTCAGATACACTGTATATATGGGAAACAAGCTAAACAATTCAATGAACATTAGACGGCTTCCAAACAAAGTGTTTGCAAAGAATTACATCAATAAAATGGCATTAATATATTACAAATAAATGAAGTGTTGGAAAGAGCTGGAATTGAAGATGTCAACACACGCGCGCACACACACACACACACACACACACACACACACACACACACGCGCGCGCGCGCGCGCGCGCGCACACACACATGCTATATAATACATTGATGCGTCGTGGTTTAATCAGGCGCTCCTCAAAATAACGAAGTCAAAGAGATTCGTATATTTTTTTCCCGATAGGCAATTTTTTCTTCCTTTTTTTGCCAACACCTTTTATATCCATTTTAAAACACATTTTTGTGCGTATTTTAATTTTTAAAACCCCCATTTATTAAAGGCATAAAAACATAAATTTTCAGGTTCCAAGGACTCCCAGGCTATGGACGTTACCAAACTTTGGCGGCCATTATCTCTGTATTCGAAAATATTTCGACTTCTATTCAACATACAGTATGGCTATTTTTTTCACTGAAGGGAAGGGACATGGACCGGCTTTAAGGTGATAATGATATCAATAACCCCATATGTCCAAAAATTGACGAGCGCCTGACTCCGTCAGGTCGAGAGACTATTTATAATAATATATTATACGGGTATATGTTTTCTGGGTCAAAGACTTTTTTAAATTGTCGAGGAGACCAGGATTTGCTGTCTTTTGAGCTTTTTTGGGAGTTCAAATAATGTGTGTATAATTTTACATGTGTGCATGTTTGTATAGGTGTGCTTTTGTCCTGGGAAGGGCACAGACACACACACACACACATACACACACACACGCACACACACAAAGAGAGAGAGAGAGAGAGAGAGAGAGAGAGAGAGAGAGAGAGAGAGAGAGAGAGAGAGAGAGAGAGAGAGAGAGAGAGAGAGTTCAGGGTGAGGAAAACGCTGCGCCTGTTGAAATTGATTTATTTTCATTTCCACGCCTAATACAAATACATGTACTGGAAATTAATAATAATAATAATAATAATAATAATAATAATAATAATAATAATAATATAATGATAATAATGATAAAGTAATTATAGTAATAATAATAAACTAATAATTATGATAATAATAACAATGATGATGATGATAATAATGATAATAATAATATATTAAAAAAACAAAATTTAAATAATTAAAACAACAAATAATAATAAATAGCATTTACGCTCCACATTTTCATTTTCTTTTTTAAAAAGAAAGCTCAATGCACATTTTAAAAATCACCACACAGGTAAGTACGTATTACTCAAAATGTATTTTATGTAGGGGGATACAATGTTCTATGAGAAAATTATGATACCTAAGAATTTCAAAGTTCTACCTGACATTTTTGGCCGTATTTAGTTACTAAGACCATGAGGTAAAAAAATATTTAAAAATATTATATCTACTCAATCACTATCATAAGATTATTCAGAGTCGTTATCAAAATGTTCAGAGAATTGCATTTCAAAAAGCTGGACATGTTTTTAAACTCAACATTTTTTACGTCAAATTTGTCCAAACTAGGTACTGAGCGGATAGATTTGAGTAATTTTGAGGTAACGATTAGTCATTCAGTGAGCATAGCAGCACGTGCATTTAAAATGTAGAATAAAGTTAACACTCGCTAACGATTACATTACATGTAATACAAAGTGAAAATAAGGAAGATAGATAGAGAGAGATGGAGAGAGAGAGAGAGAGAGAGAGACAGAGAGGCAGAGAGACAGAGAGGCAGAGAGACAGAGAGTGAGAGACAGAGAGTGAGAGAGATGCGTGCGTGCGTGCGCTCGAGCATGTGTGTGGTGTGTGTGTGTGTGTGTGTGTGTGTGTGTGGGTGTGTGTGTGTGTTTGTTTGTTATGTATTACGTGTTATAACTAACGCCTTCTAAATTAAGTAATCAAAGAAAAAAAAGCCAACAACAAATAAAGAAACCGACAACAAATAACGCGGTCTGGGTTTAAGTGCCAGAAGGAAGCAGCAGACGAGCCAAAGTCCTCCTGTGCCCCTGGTCCAGGTGGTGTGTGGGCGGCATGCAGACGATACTCTCTTCCTCCAGAGCCCGGAGAAGGCTGACCGGAAGCCTATGCCGCACGGACTCTTCTGTCAGGACCACGATGAGGCCCGGGTTGGACGGGCTGACCATGTAGACGGCTGTCTTCATGGTGAAGTAGGACCACAGGTCGTTGTTGAGGAAGTCGTGGGTGACGATCAGAACGATCCTCCAGCTGGAGTTGACGGCGTCCACGATCGACTCGGCGATGTCTGAGGACGGGAGCGTGTTGATGTCTCTCACGTAAGTGGACAGCGACAGCTCGGACTGGATGAAGTCTCGGAGTGTGAAGCAAGCGAGCCGAGTATCGGCGTCGGCGTATCCGATAAATACCCCGATTCTGTAGTCGGACGGTGTGTGCATGTTGAAACCGCTAATGAACGTCCGGTAGAGGAAGGATTTGATTCGCGTTTGGAGTTTGGCATAGGAGATGGTGATAACGAATCCGAGGCTCAGGAAGCAGAAGAGGATGATGGAGATAAGTAAGAAGTATTTTCCCTGACACTGACGCCGCAGACTCTTGAGGTTAGAAATGTCGCCAACGGTTTTAAGAGTACCGTCTTCAGTGATGCAGCTGTAGTTGACAGGTTTGTCTAAATTTATTTTTGTGTTCTGAAGCCAATAGAGGAACCGAATGCTCGAGCATCCGCAGACCATAATGTTCCCGGTTAAATCTACAGAAAATTCAGGGCTTCTCATCAACTGCTCGTCGAAAGCCTGCATTTCTTTCTCGTTCAGTTGAGATATTGAGTTCGAGCGGAGGTTTATGTGTTCGAGATTTGGAAGGGAAGAGACCACAAATGGGAGAGATTTAAAACGATTTTTCTCTAATACGAGTGCTCGGAGTATGGAATTGTTTCTGAAAACGTTCTCAGAGAGAAGACTTAGGTTGTTGTCAGACAGGTCTAAGACTGTCAGATTTCTTAACGGCCGGAACAGACGCTCGCTCTGCGTGGACATGAACTCACTGTCCAGCATCGCTCCGCGGATCTTGAGGTGGGAGATTGTCGGTGCGGTGTCAAAGAACGACGGGGACATGTTGGAGCAATTGTTGTACGATATGTCGCAAATCTCCAGGCGCGTGAACCCGCGGACCGCACCAGTGAAGTCGGTATACGAGTTGTCACCAAGGTACAGTTCTCGGATATTTCCGCCTCCAACTACATTTACGTCCGACGATAAAGAACCCATACTACTCCCGAAGCTCTGTATGTTAACGATTTCGAGGCTCTTTGGGAATCGAATAGAAATAGCGGAATATCCATGGCCAGAGATACGGTTGGACAGGGACCCGCCTACGGCCAGTTTAAAGGGCAAGGCTGTTTGGACATCCCCGTGCCGATCAGAGTCAAACGAAATGACATCCCCGGTATCATATACACCATTGTGAACCGACCTCTCGTGGCGTGTCTTTATACCCCCGATCGACCTTGACCTTACACTCCCGGAACGCATTCTGTGGATACTGGATGAGCTCGGAAGATTTTCTCGGGCTTCTAAATACTCATCTCGCGGATTTGAGTACGAAGAAGTCTGTTTCCGGTTTGATAAATCAAGAACTTTCAAAGCTTTAAACCGAACGAATTGTAGGAGAGTGATTCTGTCCCCAATGAGTGGGTTCGAAGACAAGTCCAGGGAACGTAGACATTTCCTCCACACCGGCCCGGTAATGGTGTCGCCCTGCACGGCATACACACCGCTTCTTATGAGCGAAAAACTCTCCACGCAAATCTGAGACAGGAATTCCACTTTGTAAGAGTCTACTATTCCGTCAGAACACTTCACCGCACCACGCTCAAACTGCGACGTTCCAATTGCCCGCAGGTATAACGTTTTCAAAGACCGGTTTCGAAACGGGTATAAACTTCTCAGGGTCTTCTTCAAGCCTTGATTTGTATTCTGAATAGAAAACGAATGAAGGTCGGATAAATGGTTAAACGCGTCTAGCTCAGTCGTGTGCAGGTTGTCGGCACTCGTAAGTGAAAGAGACGTGAGCCCGAGGGTTTGAAGGCTTCGAAATGTATTGTTTTTTATGACACTGAGACCCCCACTCAGAGAGAGCCTGTCTAATGACGTCATATTGCCAAAGATATTTCCAAACCGGAGGCAGCCATAAAACGTATCCAAAGACAAGAACTGCAGGCTCTCTAGACCTCCTAGTAAATTCTTATGGTAATCTCCCTCGAGATCGCCATTATTGTTGTTAGCTAAAGTTAGATCTCTCAGCTGTCCGAGATTCCTAAACGGCCGTTTTCCCCACATGGGGGCGCTCAAATTTAGGCGATTGCCACCCAAATTTAGGCGTTCTAAACTCTCGATGCCACAAAAAGCACAGGGGCTGACTCGTTCTAATCGGTTTTTGCTGATCGTCAGAACTTTAAGGTTCGGAACGCTCGAGAAGGTACAGTCGGGCAGAGAGGCGATGAGGTTGTTGTCGAGATGTAGCTTGACCGTCGTGTGTGGGAGGTCTGTGGTGGGAACTCGCGTCAGGCCTTGACCCCTGCAGTCCGCCACCTCATCACCCTCTGGGTCTGTGAAGACGATGCATGGCGACGGTGCCGACGATGACGATGGCGGCAACGATAAGGATGAGGATGACGAGAACGACGATGATGACGATGACGATGGCGACAACGATAAGGATGAAGATGACGAGAGCGACGATGATGACGATGAAGATGGCGAAAACGATAAGGATGAAGATGACGAGAACGACAACGATGAAGTAGATGACGGCAACGATGACGATGAAGACAAAGACGACCTCAACGACAACGATGAAGAAGAAGGCGACGACAGCAACACCTGGCCGCGACAATCGGCGCCGACACACTGTGACGATGAGGGTGACGGGGTTTGAGAGTTTGGTGATGCTGCAGCAGCAGTGAGAGTGACGTCACATGCTGTCCAGGCGGCACAGAACAGGAGAAGACGATACATAGTCCCGGAAGTGAGACGACTACCCGTCTTGTCCAGGTGCTGGTATGTTATGGAAGGGTGTTGCAAGTCTCCGGTCATTTTAGCGGCTAAAATTCTGTTTGGGAGTAAACATCATATTGAATTGAAAAAGACATAATTATTAAAAAGTCACTTTAAAGATAATAATACAATGTATACCCCTGTACTGAAAACGTCATATTGAAAACGTTACATTGAAAATGTATTGAAAATATCATATTCAAAACGTATTGAAAACGTCAAATTGAAAATGTAATATTGAACATGTCATTCTTTTCGCAGAAATAAAAACATATGCTTGATTGTGCAAACCTGTGTTTAGTGGGTGGTTGGCGGGTGCTCTGGTGTAGTTTGCGTCTTCTTTCCTATCAAACATCTATCGTCCTTATCTCCCCTCCTTCTTTTTATGTTTTTTACTCTCTTGTAATACTTCTAATCTTCTGGCGCTCATATGACCTTATGCAGTTGCGAGCGCCATAAAACCTCTACTAAAACTAAAATAAAAACGTGTGTTTCATCATTATCATCTTGATCTTTGCCTTTATCGTCGCGTATCATCACTGCCGCTACAACCATCATTATAGCCACCACCACTATCAAGACATCATCATCATCATCATCATCATCATCATCATCATCATCATCATCATCATCATCATCATCATCATCATTAGAACAAGCAGCATTAGCTTTCATTTGCTTGAAGAGAATGCACGACCTCATCGAGTTAACTCACTGCCCACCCACCGTGATAATGTGTCACGTCATGGTGGAATCAGGCGCTCGTCAATTTTTGATCATATGGAGTTATTGGTACCATCTTAAAGCTTGTTCAGTTGTCTTGCTATTATTAGAAAAAATACTTGAATAGAAGGAGTCGAGGTACATGTATTTGATATTGAAGAAGGCTTGGTTTCAAAGCTAAAATTAGCAAGAAAATAACCGCCAAAGTCTGGTTATTTCCATAGCTTGATATCCGTGGAAACTGATACTTTACATTATTTATGCCTTTAATCGACATTTTTCAGTAAAATCCACCCAAAACTGTATTCTTAATTTGACAACAATGGTATTAAGCCACCCCACCCCATCAAAAGGGATCAAAATTGGCAGACTGGCAGAAAAATGCCAGTTTCTTCAATAGCATTACAATGTATTTTGACGAGCGCATGATTTCACCGCGCATATTTCCCATTGCTATCTCCTGAGTACCTGTCCTGAGTACCTACCATTTCAATTCAATGTGGACTTTTAAAATCACACTGACACAACTGACACTACAATTTAATATCCCTGTGGTAAGAACACGATAGGATACATTCTGAATCCTGAAACAATAGGGGCGGCGGCGGTAAAGCTAGGCAGCTGAAACAAAGCTTGGACTGCTGGATAAATGTTGTATGTGAAGGCAGAGAGTTAGTTAACTAGCTTAGACCTACCTGGTCCGGCTGTCTGTGAATACATTGGTCATCCCCACCGCCGCCGCCAACACTTAATGATCTCACCGCTCCTTATTTGTTGTGCTGATATCGCCCAGGGCGCGTAACAGAACAACGTCGGTGTCGCGAGCAATCCACTTAATTCCGTTTGAGTACTTTTTGCGTCAGAGATCAACAAAAACCAAAACCAAAAATAAAACAAAATCCCTCCCTCCCCCCTAAAAACAAAAACAAAAACAAAACAACAACAACAACCCAAAACACCCCCCCCC